CATGCCCCACTTGATCCCAGATTTTCTGTATTTGTGCCTGTATATCTGTCCTCTCTTCATCGTTTCATGGCCCTATATTCAGGTCAAAAATTCATTCCATTCAGAACATAACCTTCTGACCCACAGAGAGTTAACCTGATATATGTAAATGATAATTAGCAGTTTGTCCTGTGTTACTCAGTTTTATGAAATAAACTCCATAAATTTAGGGAAAGGAACATATTGGAATTATTTGCTCACTTCTTTAGCAGCCATGCTTGCAATTCACTTTGTTTTATTTGATTTCATTAATGTGTCTTAGGAAACTAAAAATTACATTTTTATTTATTTATTTAACATTTAATGAGCTTCTACGGTGATATTTAAGATAATCATCAGTCTGACTAAAGGACAAAGTCATTTCAGGCACACTCTCTATTGCTTAGGGTCTTATTTGGGATCATCCTTATGGATTCCTGGGAATTTTTCTGAGCCAAGTTTCTTGCTAACCCCCAAATCACCCCCTCAATCAAGATATCTCTTTTCTTGCTCCCATACCTGTCCTTTCTCCATCTCAACTATCCCATTCCCTCAAGCTCTCTAACAACAGATGGAAACAGAGAGGGAGATTCACATTGGAGCACTGCACTGAGCTCCCAAGCTCCTGTTGAAGAGTGGAAGAAGGGAGAGTATGAGCAAGAAAGTCAAGACCATGAGGGTTTTACCCGCTGAGACAATTTGCCTGAGCTAATGGGAGCTCAACAACTCCAACTGGACTGGGAATGAATGAACATGGGATCAAATTAGTCCCACTGAATATGGTTGACAGTTGGGGCAGATGGAGAGACCAATGACAATGGCACTGGGATTTGTCTCTACTGCATGTACTGGCTTTTTGGGATCCTATTCTCTTTGGATGTATACTTTGCTCAACCTGGGTGTAGTGGGGAGGGCCTTGGGCTTCCCACGGGGCAGGGTGCCTTGCCCTCTCTTAAGATTGGAGGGAGGTGAGGGAAGGTATGTGGAGGGAGTGAGAGGAGGGTAGGGAGTGGGAATTTGGAATGGTATTTTTGAAGTCATAAAATAAAATAATAATAACAAAAGAGAGTTAAGGAACTTAGAAAGATATAAGCATTCTCTCTAAACAGTCCAAACCCATGTAACTTCAACTGGGAATTGTCACAAGGGAAAATAAGTATGACATGTTCAATCATGATCTTTTTTATATTGCAATGTTTGCCTTTTTGTTTTATTATAAGACTTTACCATGATTTCAAATTTTGTCCCATGTACTGGGTACTGAACGTGGCTGCATTTGTGGGAAAACAAATAGACTTTTTAGTTACTCAATAATTTTTATTTATAATGGTTAAACTTTTCAAAATATTATTTTATGCCACTAGACACCAATATTCTGTTACAATAAATACAAATTCCATTATATTTAGAAATAGTTATTCTTTTCTTATATATTTACTATCTATGTTTTCAGGTACAGCTTATATAATTGCAGTTGGCTACATACATACTCTCAATTGGGTACTTATTAGTAGACAAATGCATATACATTTCTACAATTGTAGACTAAAGAAGTAGTGAATTTTTTTCTTAAAAAGAAGTAACCAGTGGATAAGAATAAGGTGAATGCTTAACATCACAGCTTCTTTCACACTGTTTCAAACCTGGGAGTAATTTCATAGAATGAGATGTAGACAATATGAATGAGAATTATATTAAAACCATGTCTTAAAGTGCAATCAAATGTAAAATGTTTAGAATGTTTTGAGAAAAAAAATTAAATCAAGATCTGTAATCTTTAACAAGCAGTTTTTTTTAGAACAGTTTGAACAAGGGTAGTGATCATGACTATTACCATATCATACCACTCTTATAAAATCAGAATTCAGGGAGAATTCAGCCAGAATGTTCTTCTCACAAAAGACAATCTTCTTTAGTCATTGAGCAAGGAGATTTTTTGAAAATGACTCAGTAAATGATTTATAAGTAAACATTTTGATATTGACCCTGGGAAAGCACTACAAATATAGTTTTAAATTTTTATTACATATACTTATCAATTTGTGTATGTGTGTGTTACACTTTTTTTATATGAATATTACTCAGAGCGAAACTGAAGGCTGTCTCAAGACTCTGTCACTTTGTATGTTTGTATCTGTATCTGTGTGTCTCTATATGTCCTTTTGTTGTGGGACTGTGGGGTTCTGCACTTCACAAAGGGTTTTGATCTGCTATTATGACTAGCACAAATAGTATCACATGGAAAAAGAATGAGAGGCTGTACAGAAATTTTTAACTAAATTTTACAATAAAATAAAGTACTAGCTACAACTGACCCAGATAAGAAAGATTGCTATAAACATCACTATTTACCAACCAATATCCCTAAATGTTGTGTTCAATATTTATAGTTAATGTTCAATTTTATTTAGATTATTTTAACCTCTATTGTAGCTGTTTTTGGCAAATGATATACATGTGTTAGTCTGCGTCAAGAGCATGGAAGAGTACTAATGTAAGATTACAACTATATGTTAGCTTAGGTTGTAAAAGTTGTTTACATGGTAAATTCAAGGAAAGTAAGATTGATTATTACATTGTTCTCTTAAAGGCAGTTCAAACAAATAAGCTGAGTAGACAGTATAATAGCAGTTTTAAATCTTGAGTGACATCAAACATCAAAGTATATTATTAGCTCTGTGAATTTCAGGAAAAGTTCTAGTCTCTTAGCACGTAAAAGATATTTTTATAATATATCATGTGGTGTGTGTGTTTGTGTGTGTGTATATATGTACACCATGCTGTACATAAGGAGGCTAGAGGACAACTTGAAAGAGTCAGTTCCCTTTTTCTACCATATTGGTAGAAAATAAAACTCAGGTTGTCAGACTTGGCAGCAAACCATTTTTCTCTCTTGAGCCAATTTTCTTGTCCATAAACATAATACTGATCAAGGCAATTGAAACATCTGAAGATTGTAACTTTCATATCCATATGCTAAATCTAGCTAAAGTGATATTGTTACACTGGTCATACAGTTCTAGGATTATTTATTTTCTAAAAGTAACATATCACAGCTAAAATAAGGATAATATCTATTAATCGCTTGTCTGAAAGATTTTATGTGAGAATGATAAAAGAAAAAATCCAATTGTTATACCAAGTATGCCATATAAATTCTTGGTGATAAAGAAATGTTAGCGATTTTACAAATGTTTGATCTCATCAGCCTTATATTCAAGAACTGTGTACACTGGTTAGAAGCAGCTGCTTGAATATTTGGGAAGCCATTATATAGTGGAATTTCCAATAGACTCTGGCTTTATATTTAGTGACACCAGCAAAACATAGAATAAATTTTGGAAGCTAGACCAGGTACATTGTTGAAAAAGAAAAGATATTGACATAGAATACCAATAGAACCAGGAATAAATTAACAATTCCAGAAGATTGGCACATTTAGACACAAAAGACCAGATTGGAAAAACAAATCCTACATGGAAACAGACTTAACCAAAGATATGTTTTACCTAAGAACCATGTTTTCTACATATGTATGATTGTAACATAAAGCTCATGAATTTCTCCATAAAAATAGAAGTCTTTTTTATTGGTTAAATAAAATCCTGAAAAATATAAATATTACTTTATAGAGTCAAAGATTTGTTTTCAACTATGATAAAGTAAAATGTGTTGAGATACCATATACTAAGTTTTCTGCATTGAACCTAAATATAAACAAAACTTCCTCACGAAAATGAAAGTAAGGGAAAATACACACAAGGAAAAGGCAATACAAAATCAGAGCAGATGTTTGTGTGATAATGCAAACCAAGTTACAGATTTGCCAGCAACTACCCTCACAAAAGAAGGAAAATATATTTTTGTGTAGACCCTGCACAAGAACAATGGATAGCAAATTTCTTTACCTTAATTTCAGCTCAGTAGTGGTAAGTTTGGATTTCTGCCTTCAAAACTATGAAAGGTTAAATTAAATTTTTATGTGTGTGCTTTACCTGTATGTATGTCATTCTGTCATGTGTGTGACCTGGAATTGCAATTACTATATGTACTAGGAATCCAACACATGTACTCTACAAGAACAGGCAGTACTCTTCACCACTGAACCATCTCTTCATGCCTAATACATTTTAATTTTTAAGAAACCATTCTTAAGGAAATTTGTTTGAGTAGCTCAGAGAACTTGATTTAAAAAATGCATTGCAAAATTTACTAGTTTAGGGGTTAAGATACTACTGAGAGATACAAATAAGAAAGGAAGCAGAGATGGGTTTCTATATTTACAGCTTCTAAAGTAAGAACTCCATAAATCTCTGATGGAGGTTGGTGACAGGAAGCTGGAATGGTCTGGATTTTTGTTATAGCTCCTAATGGCTGTTATATTTTACAAAAGTTTCCTAAAGGTACAATGAAAGAACAAATATACTCATTCCCCCTTTTCTACCGCTTTTCATAGTTCTTCTTATTTTACTTTGTGAGGATTTTTATATTCTTTTTGACAGAATCTTCTACATGCATAAATAGTTTAAAGAAATCTCTCAGTCTCTGCTATCAAAATAGTTCTTTTTCTTTGATGATACTTTTCCAAGAAGAAATAGGATATGTCTTTTAAATATTGATAGTACAAAGAGAAAGAGAAAAGCAACTGATAACCTACATTACTTACAGAAGCATAATATATTTACAACTAGATATTTTCCTGAAACTTACATCAAAGTATAGGGGAGATATATTTGAGGTAAAAACACAGGTTTTGTAATTGGTAGGATTTTCAATTATTTTGATATTTTGACACCTGAAACCTAAGTTAAAGTTGCAGACACATTAAAAGACTGACTCATGACACTTTCATAATGAAAAATTCCTTCCTAATTCACTGCACAAATACAAACCTGTGCTGCTCACTCTACCTTAAATATTAATAATTACAGTAGATGTTTTCTTAATATACTTGGCATCTCATTATGTCTAGTATTCACCAATTAAAAGTAGGAAGTTTTGGGAAACTCAAAACAAGCTGTTTCTGCACAAACAGGTCCATCTCCAGGATACAGCCAAAACCTCCCATTTGCTCCATCATGACATGGAGCCATGACATGGCATCCATGACATGGAGCCAAAACCTCCCATTTGCTCCATCATGACACCCAGAACCATGCCCGAACACGTTTCCATGACAATCATTTTATTGCCAGCACGGATATTTCCCAATTTCAGCATCTGGGCTAGTGTATCATATCTCTTGTGGTTAATTTTTCCAGGTTCTCTTGAATAATACATAATTGAAAAAATACAGGTAGATGTCTTCAAAATAGTAACGATGGCTTCATATTTTTTCTTCTTCTTTTTAATATATTTATCTTGGGCAAATTCTGTCTTGTTGCTGAATGTTGTGCTATTTTCAATTAGCTGCTGAACTATTTCCTCTCCTTTAATGCCCTTGTCTTTCAGAGCCTTTATATCATCTTGTGTATGTTTCTGGGACTTTCCATCATCAACTATATTTCGATTATCAATGCCCGCTTCTTTAGTCTCTGAAGTAGGCTCTTCCTTCTTCTTCTTGAGCTGAAGGCATCCTCCATTACACACTTCAAATGTTGACCCATAACTATGACCAATGGCATTATCCAGGTAGAACCACTGTTTATCGAAAGTTACTTTCTTTCTCCGTTGGACTTGCACTGCTTTGAACACATCTTACCGCTTCAGCATCACGAAGTCATCATCACGGATACAGTGCTCCCCGGGCTGCAGGTGATGCGGGCTTGGCTGCTCTGCTGATGCCTCCATGGATGTCAGACCAGCTAGCTAACATAATGAACAGAGAAAGGAAGTTCCCTGTCATCCATTCTCCTCTACCTAAGCAATATGGATGTGTGCGCCTATGGGATTTACAGTACCAAAAAATTGTGCCCTGCAATGGAATAAGCTTTTTTAAATACTACATTTTATTATTTTAATAGTTGACAGCCTGAGGAAGATCCAGGCATTTCTTTTACTGCCTCTCCCCTTTTCGGTGCATAGAAAGGTTTAGTAGGTGCTTTTTGCAGTTGTTCATGCATCTTCTTTGTTCTAAAAAAGTGATTAGAACTTCTGTGAACTTTTAAACAATTGATTTTTCCCTCTCTAGAAATGTGTGCCAGTGTTGGTACGTCTGTATGTATCAACACGGACAGAATGTACTACCTGTAGTGGAGGAGAGAGAATGAATGCAGTATATTTGAACTGTGGTAAAGACTTGTACAAGTCAGACCAGCTCTCAGTGTGTTGGTATCATTCCTTGTCAAGTGTGTTTTAAGTGCCTTTTCTGAGATTACTCACACTGGTCTCTGAAGGTCTGTCTGCTGGAGTGAGGTGGGTGGCCTTTATCAGTTCTGAAAAAGTCTAATCAAATTACCATTTCCATTGTAAAAAATATAAGTGTCTAGAGTAACTCAAGACTCTTGTCCACTTGAGAATCTTAAGTCTTGCTCACTAGAACATTCTCGTCATATATAGCGTGTGTGTGTCATAGATGCCTACCCAGCAAGGAGAATCTTGCATGAAAAAGATTGTTTTAGTAGCATGTGCTGTTCTAATAATGGCTGCTCTGATTGACAACTGTGGTTTTTATTCCTTTTCCTCTAAATAATTGCTTTTAAAGAACAAAAGTTTACTACTCTGAAAAAAAATAAAAGTAGGAAGTTGCTATATTTGCTGTGTTTGACCTTGGTTGTGGGCAGGAGTCTCCTAAGAGGAAAAGCTACAAATACTGTGTCTAGGGCTAAGTTCTAGGTGTTCGAGTCCACACTATTCTGTAGATATTGTGGTTGTACTTGATGTTCCAGTATTCTTAGGTGGTAAGGCTACATGAAAATCATGTGTGTACAAGTCTATTTCTTAGTCAAAAGTTTTTCAATTTTGCTACATTAATTAATTAATTGTTTGTTTAGTACGTGTGTGTGTCTGTGTGCGTGTGTGTGTGTGGGTTGTCTGTGCTCATCCACATATACATACCATAGCACAATAGTGGAAGCCAAGGGAAAAATTTTGGCAATTGGTTCTCTCTTTCAAACTCATGTGTCTTGAGGATCGGCATCAGGTCTTTAGGCCTGACAACAAGGGTCTTTACTAGCTCACCTGTCTCCTGGGGCTCCCTTCTATATTTTAATCTGAATATAAATGACATGGAAGAAATTGTACAAACAAAGACTGATTCATCAGTTAGGATGAGGTCTCATATTTATCACTGTCCTCCTACTAATATTGTAAGTTGGTTTCAGAGATACAGACAGGGTAGTAAGAGCCATGATCATTGATTCTATAATTGTAGAAATTGACACTGTGATGTATTTCTGTAGATTTGTGATTCATTCTGTTGAAGAACAAAGCACACAATTTGCATATCCTTAGTTTAGATCCATAATACAGAATACAAAATTCATAATACAAAACCAACTTGTAGATAATACAAGTATGTAATAATCTCCATAAATGTAGAAATAAGGTATATTTTATAACTAAAAATAATACAATCGATATAAAATAATGCAGGAGAAAAGGTCAAAGGAGATTTGAGATAGCTTATAAATTAAAATAATTTTCCCTTATGCTGGCTGCTCAGTACTGTTCCCACTAGAATGTGATATCTGATTTGTAAACTAATCTCTGTAAACTACTCAGCTATTTGTGGACAAGTACAAAGGAGATGATCAATACTGGATATTAATAAAAGTATTTTAGTATTCATACAGCACTGAAGATGTCAATGGTATTTTATACTCTGGAGCTACAAGACATAGACATACATATGAAAAATGTAATGCCTTAAACATGTTTCAAACACTAGTAGACTAAATTGTATTTCAAGATATTGGTGTTGGAAAAATCTTTTAAAATACTGGTAACTTGTTTTGACTTAATTACTATAGAACTTATCCTCAATTTATGTTTATGAAATGTAAATTTAAATTATTGCTGCCAACAACAGGACGTTTTCATTTCCATTCTAACAAAGTGCAGATAAAAGGTTAAAGATAAAAAATTTAAATAAGTAGCGTCAATACTTAACATTTGTTGAGCATCCTACAAATACTAAGCTTATGAAATCTTTTGCATGTAAATATGGGTATATGGGACAATTGGATTTTTCATAAAGACCCAGTTTAAATTCCACTAAATTAATCTAATCAGTGGAAGATATGTGTCTTCCAATTTCTATGGGCTGTATTTATCAGTAACTAAAGCACACAATTTAGTCTCTTTGATTTTATTATTTTCATTATAATACACATAGTAGATATTATTAGTAGTATGTTCAAAAGAAAAAGGAATATTAAAAAGCTCATGCCATATTTTCTATGTGTGAAAATGGAAACACAAAATCTTGTGGTTGTCTTGACATCATATAGTTAAAAAATAATAATAACCAGGACTACCACAAGTTCCTTTGATTCCTTATTCTATGTTCTCTATATGCCAGTTTAGCATATGATAAGCAATATTTAGAAAGACAATTATAGAAGTTTATATATGGTGAAACAGACATATACTATACTTAAGCCGAAATCCAACACAGTGCTATGTACATATTGCTATATTTTTATTTATAAAAGTTTCCATTTCCATCCCTCCTCCCAAAACCCTCCCACTTCCCCCACTCCCTCTCCTCCTCTCTCTTCATTCCTAAGAGCAATCAGGGTTCCTGCCCTGTGGGGAGTTCAAGTTCCCCCCCCCCCAGGTCCAGGAAGGTGAGCATCCAAACAGACTGGATCCCAAAAATCCAGTATGTGCAGAGGAAACAAGTCCCAGTGTCATTGTCAATGGCTTTTCAGAAAAACCCCATGTCAGCCATATTCAGAGGATCCGGCCACATTCAGAGACTCTGGTTGGATCACGTGCTCGTTCAGTCCCAGTCCAAATGGCTTTGGTGAACTCTCATTAGATCAGTCCCCTTGTATCAGTGGGTGAACGCTCTCCTCACGGTCCTGCCTTTCTTGTTCATGTTCTCCCTCCTACTGCTCCTCATTTAGATCTTGGGGGCTCAGTCCAGTGCTCCAATGTGGGTCTCTGTCTCAACCTCCATCCATCAACACGTGAAGGTCCCCTCGGGTCTTGCCTTCTTGCTCACGTTCTCTTTCCTTCTGCTTCTCCTTTGGACCTAGGGAGTTAAGTCCAGTGTTCCAATGTGGGTCTCTGTCTCGATCTCCATCCATTGCCAGATGAAGGTTCTATGGTGATATGCAAAATATTCATCAGTATGGTTATGGGCCAAGGCCGGTTCAGGCACCCTCTCCTCTGTCCAGAGAACAATCTGGGTATCCCTCCTTGGACCTGGGATCCCCGTTAAAATCAAGTCACTTGTAAACCCTAAAATGACTCCCTTAGCTGAGATATATTCTTCCCTGATCCCATATCCATCCTTCCTCCCTCCCCCCATCCCAATCCCCCGAGCTTTCCCCATTCCTCCCCTACTCCCTTCTCTCTAACCCTCTCCCCTTCCAACAACCCCCCCAACCCCCCATGTACCCGAGGTTGTCTGGCACTCCTGTCTACTTCCAATCTCCAGGAGGATAACTACATGATTTTCTTCAGGTTCACCTTCTTATTTAGCTTCTCTAGGATCACGAATAAAAGGCTCAAAGACCTTTAATTATGTCTAGAATCCACTTATGAGTGAATACATACCATATTCCTCTTTTTGGGTCTGGGTTACCTCTCTCAGTAAAGCATTTTCTATTTCCATCCATTTGCATGCAAAATTCAAGATGTTATTGTTTTTTACTGCTGTGTAAAACTCTAATGTATATATATTCCACACCTTTTTAAACCATTATTATATTGAGGGGCACCAAGGTTGTTTCCAGGTTCTGGCTATTACAAAGAGTGCTGCTATGAACATAGATGAACAAATGCTTTTGTGGTATGAGGTATCACTCACTCAAAGGCAACTAAGCCAGCACTAAAATAAAAAAAGTATTTATTTGAAAAGTTAATTTATAATGATTTCAAAAGCCTTAAATTAGCCACAGTAGGTAAATTCTCTGGCACGAATTCTGTACTAGAATCAACTATATTCTTAAGAAAAATCTTAAGAGAGGTCTCTTTACGGGTGATTTACTAAAATGTGTTTTAACTAAGATTTAATAAAAAGAATTTCTTGTCATGAATGACAATTTATTTTTTTTTTCAATTTTCTTTTTTTTTCTCAAAGTTTATTAAAATACAAAAGTCTCCATTTCTGCCCCTCTTCCCAACCCTCTCCCACTCGCCCCACTCCCTCCCGTCCTCCCTCTCCATCCCCAAGAGCAGTCGGGTCTCCCGTCCTGTGGGTAGTTCAAGCTCCTCCCCCCGCCCTCCAGGTCCAGGAAGGTAAGCATCCAAACAGACTGGATCCCAAAAATCTAGTATATGCAGAGGAAACAAGTCCCAGCGTCATTGTAAATGGCTTTTCAGAAACACTCCGGGCCAGCCACATTCAGAGAATCTGGCCTCATTCAGAGAATCTGGCTGGGAGACTTGCTCGCTCAATCCCAGTCAACTGGCCTTGGTGAACTCTCATTAGATCAGTCCCCTTGTATCAGTGGGTGATTGCACCCCTCGCGGTCCTGATTTTCTTTTTCATGTTCTTCCTCCTTCTGCTCCTCATTTGGACCTTGGGGGACTCAGTCCGGTGCTCCAATGTGGGTCTCCGTCTGTATCGCCATCCATCCTCGGATGAAGGTTCCCTCTGATCTTGCCTTCTTTATTCACATTCTCTTTCCTTCTGCTTCTCGTTTGGACCTAGGGAGTTAAGTCCAGTGTTCCAATGT